AAAACGAAGAGAGCATCAACAGAAAAGAGTGATGCTATAGCAAAGAAAAAAAAAAAAACAAACAAAGAGATTCCATTAAAGGTTTTTTTAAAGAAAACAAAAGCTTATGAAAATGTCATTTAATGTAATTGAGAATGTTAAAAGCAGGGTTTAGATTATATTTTTAACATTTTTTTATATAAATGCAAAAGAGCAGGGGGTGGTAGGGGGGAGAAAGAGGAAGTTTAAAAAATCGTCAAAGATATTGGGATGTTTATGTTAGGAGTTTATATTTCTCGTTCATTCCAGTGGTGAGCAAACGATGCAAACAAATTTTGATTTAGCTATAGTAAGTAATTCGTTATGACTCGTTTATTCATGAGGTGTGAAAAATTGTTAAAAAATAATAACATTTTCGTTTTTTTTTTTTTAAAGAAAAAAAAATTCAAAATTATATTTGTAATTTTGTGAAATAAATTTTTGAGTCCTACTCTTTTGGTTCCACCCTTTTATCCGCAATTGTTTTTTTAAAAATCTCGTAAATAGTAAAATTTGAAATTCCATAACAATCAAAGACAAAGTTGTTGCTCGCCATCGAACATACAAAGTTCGAAAGGCAGTCGACGCAACAGCCAGCCAACCAACGCAACGCAACAGCCAACCCAACTCAGAGCAGAGAGGGCAGTGCATCACCGTGCGCCATACGTTATGCGACATAACGTGGCGATAACTCGCACAAAACCGCATTTGGGTTCCAGCGTTATGTCGTTGGGATTTATTTTCAAGCGGAATTACGAGGTTTTTGTTTTCTGTCCCTGCTCACGGGCTGTTACGCTCGGCAATAATAATGAATCTGTGAAATGTAATTTAAATTCATTGTAGCTACGATGTAACCGAGGCACGAGCGAGTGAGCACAAGACGAATTATTGAGCGATACTTTTAACGAGATTTTGTTTTTAGGGTTGCACTTTTTTTCCTGGCATTTGCAAAGACAATCGGGTGGATGGATAGGTGTGTGAGTGGGGTGGTTTATTTATATGTATGGGAGGAAAAAGGTCATTTGGGGGTAGATGAATGGTTAATTTTTTTCTTCTTTTCATGTCTTCCAGTTTGATATGAGTTGTGTGTGTAGGTATGTATGTATGTAGGTGGTGTTCCCATTGATATTAACACCATTGACTTTAATACCTTTTCAAAAAAAAAGCAAAAAAAAAAAAAATATGCGTCAATTCGTCGTTGGCAAAACTTTTTTTCTTTTCCTCGATTTCCATTTACTTGCGATTTTTTCTCCTCAGTTTCCTCAATAACTTTAGAGCAATAAAAGTTGTTTTTTTCTTTGTTCCTCATTGATAAGTTTCGTTGTTGTAAAATGTGTGTGCGGTAAGGAATAAAAAGTGTTTGAAAGAAAATTAAGGAAATATTAAAACGTGTCTATGGAATATTAAAAAACGCATAGATGCTGCTCAGGATGTGGGTAGGCGTTGAAAGGGTTTTTGTGGACACACATATATGTATGTACATACATTGTGTAAATGGAATGTCTTGGGAATTATTGGATTAGAAACAACTTGGGGTTATGCTTCATGGTTGAGTGTTTCTGCGGGGGAGGGTTTTTTAGGGATTATTGCAAATTAGCATGGAGTTAAAGCAACAAAAAATGAGACAAATTTGTTCCTTGCTGCCTTAAAAAATCAAATTTAAACCATCCTTTCGCCAGATAGCAGAACAAGCCATGGAAGAGCTTGGTAAGATCCTCAACCCGCAAGTAAACAACTGAAAGCCTCAGAAACAACCGATTTCGAAGGATAAATCTCCTTTAAAAATTGAAATCAGTCTGGCCAGTTGTTGGGGAAACCACATCAAAACAATCTCCTTCTTGACATTGAAGCATACTTTTAGGGGTTATTTTTGAAACCCCTCCAAATATTCGTTTCCGATATAAACAATGTGTACAATTTTGTATAAAATAATTTTTTGTATGAGCTGATATTGATACATACTTTTAGGCGTATTTTTTCAAGACCTCGAAGTATTCGACTGATACCTTAACAAATTGCACAATTTTTTATTAAGGCTACTTTACACATTTTTCTACCCTCCACCATAGTATGGAGGGTATATTAAGTTTGTCATTCCGTTTGTAATACCTCGAAATATACATTTTAGACCCCACAAGGTATATATATTCTTGATTAACATAAAATTCTATGTCCGTCAGTCCGTCTGTGGAAATCACTCTAGCTTCCGAACGAAATGAAGTAGATTGATAAAATTTTATCCAAATGTGTATTATATATGCAGGACTTTTGATATTGAAAATGGGCCGTGTAGATCCACGTTTTGGTATAGCCCCCATATAACGGCAACTCCCCATTTTCGGTATTTTGATGATTTTAGCGACATTATTCATTGGAAATGTTTCAAATCTGGTATTTGAAGTTCGTAATGGATACTACAGCCTATGACAAAAAATTGTCTGTGCAGGTCCACGTCTATTTTGGTATTTTGATCATTTTAGCGACATTATTCACCGATTTTTTTCAAGTTTTGCATTTGAATATTGTAATGGCTTCTGACAAAAGTTGCGTATGCAGGTCCACGTTGTCGTATATGCCCTATTATCCTATGTATGGTATTAAAAGTTCAGCTCTACCGAACTTAAATCTTTCTTACTTGTTATTTATTATTAGTGACTTTTTCACAATTGCATTTTTCTATTTTTGGAGTATACTTTTAGGCGCTTCGCACAACTTTGAAACTAAAAAGTCAGTCATTGGAGTATTATATGGAAAAAATGTTTAAAAATTGCTTTAATTTGATATTTTGGACTTCTTATCGGACGAAATTTCTATTGGGGGACAAATGTCAATACAGGTCCACCACATTGCGATTTGAAGTATTTTGGAGATTTCAAATATATTTTGGAACCACATAAGATGAAATTTGATAATTTACGTTCTCAGTGCTTCCACCAGGGAATTTGCACTCATGAAAGTCCACTTCTAAGTATTGCCCTCATATAAGGGCTTTTGGCTTTTCGAATTTGTTCAATCAGCCAAAAAACCATTTTTGATTTCGACTCTAAAGTCAATTTTTATTTTAATAAACTATTCGACAATTGGACGGACATTAAAATCAAAATAATCAACAAAAACGACGATTTTGGGATCTTTCGATTTTGCTTCAAAAAAAAAAAAAAAAAAAAAAAAAAAATAATGTTTTTGCCTAATCAGCAAAAAAAAAAAAAATAAACGATTCTTGATTTCGACCTTTTAAACAAAATTCGATTTCTATTTCTTTTACTTTTTGGCGGGCATTGAAATCAGGATCAAATATTTTAATAGTAAAAATGTGGTAGGGATTGCATATATTTAGGCTCGTTTGAACAAAAAATTAAATTATACGATCTCAAAATCAAAAATTTTTTACTGCAGTTAAAAGTTGACTTCGACTTTTAGGCTTTCCAATACCAAAGGCCGAATGATCGTGAAATGGGAAGTCGATTCACATAAGTGTTACGTTAACAAAAATTTCGATACTAGCCTTCAAGAAGAACTCTGACATTTGGAATTTTCGATTTTTTCCGATCAATAGAAAATCTACCCTGAGCGACAACATTCATTTTTTTCTATGATTAAAGGAGAAATCCAGTAGATTGTGAAAGTGGAGCTAAAAATAGGAGTCATGTATGTCTGCGTTTTGAAAGTTTCCCTCGTAAAGTAACCGAAATAGAGAGGAAAAGTTCTCCCCTCTAATGCATTTTTGGAAATTTTCGGACTAAGATTCCTCGGAATCCGCGCATTTTTGGTACATAGTGTCCTGGGCAATATTACAGATAACACTACGAAGATTATTTTTGTCAGTAGTTTTAACCCTCAAGCGAGTCACGAAAGGTGTCTTTTTGTTTTTTTTAAATATTTCTAAGAACTCCCTTTAAACGGGGTCGTAGCACGTTAAAATATTCTACAAAATTATTTGTCATAAAATTCTACTATAGGTCCTAGAAGACATCAAAAGTCTAAATCTTACCTAAACGTCGGAAATTCATAATTAATAAAAATGCAATTTAGGGTTAAACCGTACTTTATGTGAATTAATGCAAAGTTCTCCCACAGAACATCATTTTAGAAGGATGACGTTAAAAACAAAAATGTTCTCCATCAAATTTCACTATAGATCACCAAGGAAAAGAAATCTCTATTTCTATTATAATCAAAAAAATATTTCCATCAATGTTGCCAACAAATACTCAAAAATATTTCCTAATTTTTTAATCAATTTTTTTTTTGGTATTTTTTCGGATAGATGCCTGAAAGTGATATAAAACTTCGTTTTCGGCAAAAAGTGTCAAAGAAAGAAATATTCTACATAAAATTCAAAGATAAATCTCAGAATAAATCATATATCTAAGTTTAATAGTTTTTATAAAAAATATATTCGAAACGTATGTATTTAAAGTGGAAATTATGTGCTTAGATTTTTTCTCTTAATTTAACACTTTTCCATTCTACGACAAAATCTCCCTTAATATTTGATTTTTTCGATAAGGTATCAAAGGAAGAAATATTCTGTATCGAATTTCAACGTGAGTCTCTGAACAAAAGAACTTTGTATAATTAATAATTACCATAAAAAATATCATGCATTTCGGTTTATAAGGAAAAAAACATTTTTTATTTTGGGCAAATGCCGCACTTTTTCCGAAATCGCTGCAAACTTTTTATAGTTTTCATTCCAATAGCCACTCTGGGCTTTGAAAAATGCAAGGCGGATTTGATGACACTCGGTTTGTAGATCGAATCCCTAAAATAGTTACGGGTTCTTAGGGTAAATTTTAATTTAAGCTTTCCTCACGGTAAAGGGTATGAAATGTTCAACCCCGCCGAAGTCAATCTCTTTAGGAAATATACACTAATTTTTTCTCTTCTTCAGAGAGCGAGAGAGTAAGTAATTTATAAAACACTTTTTACCAACAAAAAATAATAAAAAAAATTATAAATAAAATCTTCAATCCACTCACCTGAATACCATGAGCGCCACCTTGCTGTGAAATATGCAACTGTTGCGTCTGCTTCATTTGCAACGTTGTTGTGGTGGTTTGTTGGGCCTGCTGCTGTTGTTGTTGCTGTGGCATATTTGGATTACCTTGCTGCTGACCGGCCGCCGGTCCATTGCCGGGACCATTTAGATTCGGTCCCGAATTCGGACCATTTTGATTATTGATATTTGGTCCCGCGCTGCCCATATTCGGTAAATTCTGTTGTGAGTTGGGACCTCGGGCATTGGCATTTTGTGGCTGTTGTTGTTGCGACTGTGGTTGCTGCTGCTGGACTGGTGACATGTTGGGTGGACCATTTGATGGGCCACCTTGGTTGGGTCCCATACCACCAACACCGATGCCTGGTCCACCGCGTGGTCCAGGTCCTTGCATAAAGTTTGGTCCCATACCACCCTGGGAACCACCGGGAATGCCAGGTCCGCCGGCACCACCGCCTCCGGCCGGACCCATGGGGGAATTGTAGGGCGAGTATTGGGGTTGTTGGTTTGGATTTTGGGTTTGAGATTGCTGTTGTCCGGGACCATTGGGTTTGGGGAAATTGCCCACACCAACGCCACCACCACCCATGGGCCCATTGGGTCCCATTTTACCCATATTGGCTTGTGACATATGCTGCTGCTGCTGTTGTTGTTGTTGCTGCTGCTGCATTTGCTGTTGCTGCTGAAGACGCTTGAGATCGAATTCATTCTGCTGTGAGGAATAGTAGAGCTCCTGTTTAATGTCCAAGAAGGACTGCTGTACATTGTTGCCACCCATGGGACCACCCTGAGCCTTTTGCTGGAATTGGGGTGGTATGTTTTGATGTTGCGGATGCTGTTGGGGACCATTGGGACCCTGCATGAAATCATTGGGCCCTCCAAAACCACCAACATAGTCATTGTAACGACCATTGGGACCACCACCGCCACCACCCATCATTTGATTCTGCTGACCCTGATGCATGGGCGGCCGGGGGAAATTCATGCCACCCATGGCATTCTTGTGCTGATGTTGTTCGGCCATTTGTTTGAGGGTTTGGGCGGCAAGTGATAATTCGGACATGGGTCCTGTGTTGGGACCATTCTGGAACTGGGAACGCATTTTGTTCATGCCTTGCGGATCATTGTTGGGACCACCTGGTCCCCCACCCATGGGTCCGCCACCCATTCCGCTGCCAACATTGGGACCACCTGGATTTGGACCACCACCACCTCCAAAGGCTGCATTAAACTGAGCCATGGCATTTTCCGACTTGACATTCAAGCTATCAATCAAGGCCTGGACATTGGGCGGTTCCACCTTAATGCCATCCTCTGTTTTGATGTCCATCAGGGGTTTCTCATCGAGGCCATCCAAAAAGCCAGGATTGAAATCTTGCAAGTCATTGATGAGATCCTTGAAGGTTTCATTGCCCACGGCGCCGTCGTCTCCCATGAATTCGGTAAAGGCGGGAAAGTTACTGTTCGGACCGCCATCCTTCTCCAAGCCGGCCAAATCGGGGAAATCGTGGTCCGGTTCACGTTTACACTCCACCAAATTGCCCAAACCACCCATGTTGTTGGGTTTCTGTTGTTGTTGTTGTTGCTGCTGCTGCTGCTGAGCTGCATTCATGTTATGGCCACCCATTAGATTCGAAGCACTGCCTGCACCACTGCCCATATGCATGCCACCGCGATTGTTGTTGTTGTTATTGTTACCATTATGTTGGGGATCACTGCCCTGGGGACCACCACCACCACCGCCGGGTCCACCGGTACCGCCTGGCCCACCGCCGCTTGCACTTACACCCGGTTCACTTTTCACGGAGGTATTGGTCAGGGCTTTCACTGTGACATTGGTGCTTATCTGCTGGGGTTGAGAATTGGCCGCCGAGGTGGTGAACTCCAGTTGCTGGACAATTTCCACAGAGAATTTTAGATTCTCGGAGCCATTGTTGTTGTTGTTATTATTGCTGTTATTGGAATTGTTGTTGTTGTTGGGCAATTTGTGGGGCGGTTCGAAATTTTCGGCACCATTGTCGGCATCGTCAGCGGGTCGTTTTAAGAACTTTTGTTGCTGGAAATGAGAGAAAAAATTGAAAAATTAAAGGGTTATTAAATGGGAATGCAAAGATTTTTGAAATTTTTTTAAATCATTTGAAAATTGTGAAAATAAATTTACCCAAATATTCATTAAAATAGTTTTAGCAGCTTAAGAGATTCACTAAGAGAGGGAGTTGTTTTTGTAGAGAGAATTTTGTGATCGATTTTTCGTAGCTAAGGTGATGAGCTGCAAGCGTTTGATTTATTTTTTGATAATGTCGCCTGAAATTGAGTTTCTCGAGCTTTGAGTTTAAGTATCACGCCTTGTTGTTTTATTCTGGAACTGTGGGTGTGTGTGTTCAAGCTTAGCACTTTGCTTTTCTACTTTTTTGTATTTTATCTTTAAATGGGGTGAGAGCGTACGAGCGAGCGAGGTGTAGCGTTGTTTACGTTGATCAATTGAGGATTTTTTTGTTGGTGTTGATTTTTTATAATTTTCGCAGATGTCTTCGTAGCTGAGTTTTTAAAACTTTTTGATTTCTGCACAGGCTTTGTTGTGTTTTGAAGTCTTTCATGATTTTCTGTTGTTGTTGTTTTTGTTGATTTTAGTGATTGTTGTTTATATATTTTCTCGGTGCTTTTTGAAGCTTTTGTTTAAAACGTATTTTGAGTTTTTTTTTTTTGTTTTCTTAGAGGAATTTTCCTAAATGTTCTTTGGTTTATGGGTTAGCTTGTATTTTTTGGTTTGGATTTTCTTCTGTTTTGGAAGTTATCTTAGTTTATAGCTCTGTGGAGATTGGAAAACAATTTAGTTTATTTTTTTTTCGTAAAAGTTATGAAAGAGGAAAAAATTCTCCGTTTTCCACACTTTTGGAAATTTTCAGATTAAGATTCCTTGGAATCCTTGCACTTGAGGTATAAAGGCTCTTTGGCAATATTACAGCTCGCAATATGAGGAATATAAAGGATCCTCATTACATTATACCAAGATTTTTAACCTTTTTTAAATTATTCTCACGGATCATTTTTTGAAAATCTTAAGGACTTCAAAAAAGGTTTATGGACTTTTTCAAAAGAACTATTACTATAGAAGAACTCAAAGGATTTTTTGGGAATTATTTTCAAAGGACATTCAAAGACATTGTCGTGGAGTTTTAAAAAAAGTTTCTAAAGGACCTTCTGACGGACGATTTTAGAAATCTCTGAAGGGCCTTCAAATACATAAGGTTTTTATGGAATTTTTCAGAAGGACCTGCATAAAATTTTTTGTCGGGGCAATAGATTGGATTTTTTTTTTAAATTTTATAAAGGAGATTCAAGAGATTTCTAGGGAATTTTTTTTAGGGAAACATCTGCGTGGATTTTTAAAACAAAATGTAAAACCCCTCAAAGGATTGTTTGGAGAATTCTATGTAAAGGGCCTTCTAAGATATTATCGTGGAGTTTTAAATAACGTTTCTAAAGGACCTTCTAACGGAGAATTTTTGAAATCTCTGAAAAAACTTCAAATAAATTTTTAAGGACCTTCATATCATTTTTTGTAGAGTTCGAGACAATTGTTCTAGAGACTTTCAGGAGCAAGAAAGTGGAATTTTCAAAGAATTTTATAAAGGACATTCAAGAGATTTCTAGAATATTTTAAGGACTTTCAAAAACATCTGCGTGGATTTTTAAGGATTTTTAGAGAATTCTTTTTTAAGGACCTTCAAAGACATTATCATGGAGATTTAAAAAATGTTTAAGGTTTAAATTTAAGGGACAGTCGCAGGGTTTTAGACAATTTTTTCAAAAAAACCTTCAGAAACAAAGATGTGGATTTTTTCTAAGCAAAGGAAGGATTTTATATATATATTCTTAAAGACATATTAAAATGACTTACAAAAGATTAAAAAAAATGCAAAGTACCTACAAACAATTTTAAAGAACGTTTCTCTGAAGGACCTTCATATAATTTTTTGTAGAGTTCGAGACAATTTTTCTAGAGGACTTTCAGGGGCAAAAAGTTGAATTTTTAAAGAATTTTATAAAGGACATTCAAGAGATTTCTAGAAAATTTTAAGGATTTTCAAAAACATCTGCGTGGATTTTTAGGGAGAGAATTCTTTTTAAAGGACCTTCAAAGACATTATTATGGAGATTTAAAGAAAGTTTAAGGTTTAAGTTTAAGGAACAGTCACAGGGTTTTAGACAACTTTTTCTAAAAGACCTTCAGAAATAAAGATGTGGTTTTTCTAAGCAAAGGAAGGATTTCATATATATTCTTAAAGACATTTTCAAATGACTTACAAAAAATTAAAAAAAAGATGCAAAGTACCTACAAACAATTTTATATAATTATTCTAAAGGACCTTCCAAAGGATTCTTTTTTTAATTTTTATAGGAATTTTTTCCAAAGGATTTTCAGAAAAAGGATTTTTTTTGGAATTATTGTCAATTTCATCCCACTGTGATTTTCCAATTATTTCTCCCCTATTTTTATTTGCCTCTTGAGGAGATTTCTAGGGAATTTTTAAAACCTATCGGAAATTGGAGAATTTTTAGAAAATTCTTTTTAAAGGACCTTCAAAGACATTATCTTGGAGTTTTAAGGAAAGTTCAAGGTTTAAGTTTGAGTGACAGTCACAGGGTTTTTAGGCGATTTTTCTAAAGGACCTTCAGAAACAAGGATGTGGATTTTTTTAAGCAGAGGAAGGATTTTAAAGGATTTTTTAAAGGTGTTCCCAACAATATATGGGTGGTATTCTTAAAGACATTTTAAAATGACTTAAAAAGTACACAAGAACCTTCAAAGAATTTTATATAATTATTTTAAAGAATTTTGTTAAGGAATTTTTTTCCAAAGGATCTTCAGAGACAAAAAGTGTTTTTTTTTTAATTATTCAAAAATTTCATCCCACTGTGTTTTTGCAATTACTTCTCGCCCAATTTGTGCTTCCCTCTTGAGGATTATTCAGCTGTATCTGTATTATAAATAGATTTTCACCCTCAAACTTTTATAATTTTTATAGGAATTTTTTTTTCAAAGGATCTTCAGAGACAAAAAAAGTGTTTTTTGTTTTCTTGGAATTATTGGAAAATTTCATCCCACTGTGATTTTCCAATTACTTCTCGCCCCCATTTTTATTTCCCTCGTGAGGATTATTCAGCTGTATCTGTATTATAAAAAGATTTTCACCCTCAAATTTTGACCAAAGTGGTATTTTTGGTCCTTTTCTCAAGATCAAGTATCAAGTTTTTTTAGCGTGTCAAAATATTCTATAAAATTATTGGCCGCTAGATTCTGCTATGGGTTTCAGAAGACATCAAAAGCCTAAATATTACCAAGACGGCAGGAATTCATGAATATTAAAACACCAAATTTAGGGTTAAAGCCGTACCTTATGTGAAAATTATTGAATCCATGCAAAATTCTCCAACAAAATATTCTCTATTATATCTCAAAAAATATTTGGAAAAATAAAAAATATTTCCTAATATTCTACATAACATTTATATTTATATTTATATTTATATTTATATTTATATTTATATTTTATATATATTTATATTTATATTTATATTTATATTATATTTATATTTATATTTATATTATATTTATATTTATATTTATATTTATATTTATATTTATATTTATATTTATATTTATATTTATATTTATATTTATATTTATATTATATTTATATTATATTTATATTTATATTATATTTATATTTATATTTATATTTATATTTATATTTATATTTATATTTATATTTATATTTATATTTATATTTATATTTATATTTATATTTATATTTATATTATATTTATATTTATATTTATATTTATATTTATATTCATATTTATATTTATATTTATTTATATTTATAAAAATTGAAAACCAAAACAACCTCCTGATGCCCTTCAAAAAGTAAAAATTAGAAAATTGCAAAAATCTTTGGAAGTTATCTTAATTTATAGCTCTGGGGAGATTGATAAACAATTTAGTTTAATTTTTTTTGTAAAAGTTCATAAATTCTCCGTTTTCCACACTTTTTGAAATTTTCAATTTAGTTTAATTTTTTTCGTAAAAGCTATGAAGGAGGAAAAAATTATATTTATATTTATATTTATATTTACATTTATATTTATATTTATATTTATATTTATATTTATATTTATATTTATATTTATATTTATATTTATATTTATATTTATATTTATATTTATATTTATATTTATATTTATATTTATATTTATATTTATATTTATATTTATATTTATATTTATATTTATATTTATATTTATATTTATATTTATATTTATATTTATATTTATATTTATATTTATATTTATATTTATATTTATATTTATATTTATATTATATTTATATTTATATTTATATTTATATTTATATTTATATTTATATTTATATTTATATTATATTTATATTTATATTTATATTTATATTTATATTTATATTTATATTTATATTTATATTTATATTTATATTTATATTTATATTTATATTTATATTTATATTTATATTTATAATTATATTTATATTTCTATTTATATTTAAATAGTATAAAATCATAATTATATTTATTATAATTGCAATAAAAAATGTTACACTTTGGTGTGAAATTAACAAAAAAAATAACCTCCTGATGCCCTTCAAAAAGTAAAAATTAGGAAATTGCAAAAATCTTCTCTTCTCATTTTCTTAATTGCCATAATTTAACTAATTGGATTTTCCAATAATTTTTGCATGATTTGAGATTTTCACATCATATCTGCGCCTAAAAGTTGATTAGGTCAAGATGAGTTTGTTAAATTGAAAATGTGTCCGCTACTTGTGTTTCTGTGGTTTGTAACAAAACCGCTCTCTCTCTCTCTCTCTCTCCTTCTCTCCTTTCTAAGTAAAAGTAATTCTTTAAATAATTTGTCTAAGAAGACGGTGACGTCGATTTTCTTCGGATTTGGCACCACTAGCAGCAGAATCGCCACCATAAAACCGCAAAACTAATTAAGCCTCTTGCAATTGATATTGAA